GCAGTTTTGATCCTAACATACGGACCAACTGGCGGCCGACAGGAGAATGTATAGCGTGCTAAATATAACTTTACTTGTGCATGTAGGCGGAAACGCCGAAAGTTTTATTTGTAGGCGGGCACCGCATTTTAGTACTGTGTCTGGTTCTTTTTATATTCTATAGATTTCTTCACCTCATAATTCACTTGTGAAAATGCTCTGAGGACTTGACACTTCACACCGATTGCCGGTTGCACCTCTCCTTTCTTTAAATTCACAAGTGGATTTAACTATGTAAATGCTTGTTTAAATAATAGTTTATTAACAGCTAAACAATTTTAACCCAACAAACATGTTATATAAAGTTAAGTAATTAATTATTCAAAGGGCACAATATTGACTCGACATTATGTTTGAATATCATTGCCATGTCCAGCAGAACCAAATTGATTTGGGCATGCCCCCAGAAAATACGGAAATCTGAGCTCTCTGAAATGCTATTTTGTGCAAATTGGGAGAATATTTGACATATTTCTGATGGTCAAAAGTCATTAAAATTTTAAAATGAAAAATTAATAAATTGTTGCACTGCAGGGCTACAAGTCCCCCCCCCCCCAAAGTTCTGATGGACCTGATTGCACTGCATTGTACAAACATTTTCTCCTTGTTCATTTATTTTGGCAAGAATATTTCTCAAGTTCTTCCATCAAAGATGACATTCAGCAATTGGCGTGTCTTTGGTGGCTAGGCCCTCCCCGATTGTGCTCGTAAAATCCTAAAAAGTTGCCACCTAAAATGCGAAAAGTTGCTAAAAAGATGCCAAAAATCCAAAAAGTTGCTACTTGAACATCAAAAGTTGCGCCTGCTCGTTACCTAAAGTTCACGACATTTTCACACATATTTCACCAAAAAAACTGTAAAAAGCTTTTAATAAATCGTTCGCAAACATATCGGCGTATTTTTACAAAACTATTATTAACAAATAACATTGAAACAAAACTTATAATGGTTCATTTGACTTCAACTTGGTGGAAGGTAGATTTGTAGATTAGTCGATCACCTATTCACCTATATTTGCATCGAGTAATGCCGACCTAAATGCGGTTTATATATATCCAATGTCACGGCCAACACAAAATCAAGACTGTTACACAGTCACGACCTCTTTGTATTATTGTATTGAAGCATAACAGAAGCTTCGAGGTAATCTTCAAGGGCACTATCTTGCTGCGAGGAAAATGCATTGGACAGGAGACTGAAAGCCCTTTCTGCAGATGCTGAACTTGGCTGGATCAACAGCAGTGTTTTGACTAGCAAAGACCAGTGCGGGAGGACATCTTTGTGAGCTGCCCACCATGTCAGGCTTGTCATTCTCACAAGTGACTGTGACCCCATCAGCTGCAGCAAGATACAAAGGAAGCTCTTGTGCCAGATTTGCTATTGTGGTGTCGTCATCGATGAAGGGAAAACTTCTGAACTCTTCGAGTGATGCAGCTGTCGGATTCAGGCTTTGCACTTGTACAGGGCAGCAAAGACGTGCAGCTTTGAATGCTCGCACAGTTCCATAAAATTGGCCACTGAACTTCTGCTGATAAAATTGGAGGCCTGGCTGGATACAAGCTTTCGCCCGTGCAATTAACTGGTTGCATAGCGCAGCATTGCCACCAGCACTTTCACGAGCAACAGCCAAGGTGTTAGGGTAATTGTCGACAGCTACAGCCCGGGAAACAGCCGAAAGCTTCTCATAGCAGGTGAAAATGAGTGGCCCATCTCCTTCCAAGTAGTAGGTTGCTTTAATAAAATGAACCCCTGCATCAACGAGTGCAGCCAGCTCCATGCGTAACTCTTGCAAGCTTTGGGGATCGTCAAATATCTCCAGCAGATGTTGGCGATTAGCAGGACAGATTTCCTCATTCTCGCGAAGAAATGGCTCAACATAACCAAAATAGTCGACCACTTGGTTAAGCACTTCCCATTTGCTCCACCAACGTGTGTCGCTGAACTTGCGAATGGACTTGCCCGTTCTCTCTCTCCAAATAAGGCATGCATTGAAGCTATGGGAAAACATGCCTATCCAATAGTGCGAGAATAGGTCCAGGATTTGAAACTGAAAATGGCTGCCGACATTGTCAATAGTGTGGGAGAAGCACACAACATCAAAGAGTTTTTGATAAAAAAAACATCAGCTGTCTCAAGGCAGCTCCATTAACAGATGCGCCATCTCTTACAGCTCCAATGACTGTACTCGGACCAAGCTTATAATCCACAGCCAGGCAAGACATTAGTCGCTGAGCCAATTCTTCTCCTTTCAGTGACTTTGCAAGAATTTCCAGGCGTATGAGCCGCTGAGTAGGTATAAAGTTTTCCTGGACAAAGCGGATTATGATAACCAGAGCTTCACCCAATCTGGCTGTACCATCGAAAATTACACAAGCCTCTTTCACATCTTTGAGTTCTTCCTGCAGCTTGTCCTTCTCTTTTTCTAGTACTGCTGGAATAAGCTCGCCCAAACGGCCGCTGCTGGTTAACCGATGGCCATGCTTCTCTAGTAACGGTCGAAGGGCATCGATTTTCCCTATTGGTATACCACCATTGAGACAAGATTCAACAACTCCAAAACGAAACAATCGCATTTCCGCAGGCAACGTTGAGCCAGGTGTACTTTCTCTCTTATCTCTCTTTTGCAGACATGCCATTATTGTCTGGTTTTGTGATTTACTCTTTGCAATATCAGACAATCCCTTCTTGTGCTTTTTTGACTCAATATGTTTTTTGACTGAACTTTTCTTCAAAGAGAGTTATTCATTACAAGCGTTACACCGCAATTTCCGGTCGATTACAGTAAAATGATGGTTGGGGAAATCCTTCAAACGATCCCAGGCAGTTGTATTGGCAATAGTTTTATTCCCCCTTTGATTGTACTTTCCTTGGTTGGTAGGAAGTTTTCTCTTACGTGCAATGTTAGCTTTTGCTGGAACACTAAGACTTGCACCAGCATTTCTTGCTGTCAAAATTGGATCTTGTACTTGTACCTGCACATCTTCGTTGTCTGAATCTGATGAGTCAAAGGATTCGTCTCGGTCTGATAGGTTTTGTGTTCCGGCCATGCTTCAAATTAGCAATTTTAATTTAAAAATGAAGACGCCATTTTGTTTCTAGTGCTGAACACTTACACAGGAAACCCTAGTAAATAATACCAATTACAAAGTAAAGGCTGACGCCTGTCAGTGACAGGTAGTTTGCTGTTTGACCTTAAAACTACCTGTCAGTGACAGGTAGTTTGATCAAAACACTATACTGCGATATTAAAACATTACACTGTAATAAATTATCATCAGAAAATGTTTTTTATATTATCATTTATCAAATCTTTTAATTTTTTGGCTAAAATGATTGATGATTTATACAGTAAACCTGCAATTTGCAAAAAAGTTGCTCTGAAACGCAAATGTTGCTTGAGGTTACTATAACCGAAAAAAGTTGCTCCAAACGCCAAAAGTTGCTAAAAAGTTGCCGAGCACAATCGGGGAGGGCCTATTGGTGGCAAGCCCAAAACTGTAGGGACAATGTTATATTTGTTACTGGGGCATAATGTGATGAGTGCACAACTTTATATCATGTATCATATCACATCGCATTACATCAGGTTTCCCCCTTATCAACTATCACCTCATACTGTAGAAATTGAGAGCGACTAATCTAATAGACCTTCCGCATAATGACATCACAAGTAAAATTTCCATACTGGCCATTTTGAATTGTTTGATTTTCCCAAACGATGACTACCAAGACCAGCATTCCTTGCGGGCATCAAGCCTTGTGTGACATCATTATGTATAAGGTCTATTGTTAATTAGTATAAAGCTACTAGTAGGCTATTACGTATCATGCATTCTGATTGGTTACGCCACTAGTAGGCTATTATTGACTACATAACTAGTAGGCAACATGCGGGGAAGGGCGCAACAGTTGATGGTTGGTTTTTAAGTATTAAAAGCTGCATTTCAAGGGGAAAAGTTTATCAAAATGGCCTAGTTTTGGTTCTGGATTACACACAAAGACTCTTGGAAACTGCTGACACATGCGGTAAAATTTCTAAGTTTTCTCCACTTTGCTTGTTGTTTTAAGCATGAAAGTGACAGGCGATTTTTTAAAATATATGCACAATGTTTGTTAATATTCCAAGCAGAATCGTTGAAATACAACAAAAGTTTGTAGCTACTTACCCCTATTTTCTCAACCTCTTTAGTGTTTGCTTGTTTTAAAGTGCATATGACATTAAAT